CTGACTGGGAGGTACATACACACCAGGTGTAAGAAAAATCCAGAATATACAGAGGGGTCTTCTAAATCAAGAAGAAAATAATAAAAGACAAATGATTTGACCATGTAGATGGTTGGTAGATGGGATAATCTTCATTTTGCAGCATTTTTCTCAGTAATTTTTCAGTCTTTTGGGATCTCAGCTTTGTTCTCAAGCTGCACAAGAAATAAGCACCACACCCAACCACTTGGGCGGTCAATTAAGGCTCAGCAGCTTGCTCCTCCCCTGTCCAGGAGGTGGCGCTGTCCTGGAGAGACCAACGTAAGCGCCTTTCACAGGAGGCCTGGGGCAGGGACCTGCTGCTGCATGGGAAGAAAACACCAAGGTGGAGGATCACTTTCCAGAGCATATTTATTTAGTGTATTTTTGGGGAAATATACTAACCTAAAAAAAAGGGAGGGTATTCATTGTAAAAAATGGTGTACTTTTTTTTTTTGAGAGAGAGAATTTTTAAATATTTATTATTACTTTTTGGTGGACACAACATCTTTTTTTTTTTTAATGTGGTGCTGAGGATCGAACCCAGTGCCCTGTGCATGCCAGGTGAGCGTGTTACCGCTTGAGCCACACCCCCAGCCCAAAAGTGGTGTACTTTTAGTTAGGAGCCGGTTAGTCATTGTGCACAGGTAAGTCCATATCCCATATTTTAAAGGAATAGAGATACAGTTCATCCTTTTAGCTCTTAGGTTGGACACTAACTACACAAGTGTTTATCTATTACTTAAAAAATTAAAATAAATAAAAGTAAGCCACATATTCTGATAATGATGTAGAAATAAAGATTCCGATTGCTAGAAAAAGGAATTGGTAGAAATAAAACCTGATGTTAAAGAAACAGGAAAGAAAACAAGGCAGCCAGGCACAGTGGTGCAGTCTGTGATCCCAGTGACTCAGGAGGCTGAGGCAGGGCAGCAAAAATTTGAGGCTAGCCTCAGCCCCTGTCTCCAAATAAAGATTTAAAAGGGCTGAGGATGTAGCTCAATGATAGAGTGCCCCTGGGTTTGCCAGTACTTAAAAAAAAAAAAAAAAAGAAGTCATAAGATTAATCCCAAATTGCTTCCTTCAGGAGCCCATTTAAGGATGAAGAAAGCAAAAGGTTAAAAGACATGCATTTAGAAATGAGAAAGGAAACGTAACCAGAGCTGTGTGCAGATCGCTGTGGGCCACTCTGCCGAAGACACTTCCTGCTGAACTTTTTTTAAGAGTTACATTTGACACAAGAAGCCACTGAACCAGCCCTCCGAGTGCAGATGGGAGTGAAAGGGTTCTGCAGCAACAGTGGCAGAGGTACTTGTCCATCAGGGGAGGTGGCCACATCACTGCAATGGACAGCAAGACTGGAGTGGCAGCCAGGTGCTTTGACACGGCATTTCTTGGAGGAGACAAAGAGGGAAGAGGGTAAAAGGATCATTTGACTAAATAATCAGAAAAATTGAAGAGCTGGAAGCCAAGCCCCATGGCACCCACCACAGTGAAAATCCCAGGTCCTCATTCCAGTTCTGCGACAGAGTCAGTTCTCAGATTCCTCCGACAGCCCAGGTCCCCTGAGGAGGGGCCGGCATTGCGTTTGTAAATGCATACACTAAACACTCCTCTACTTCTCCCTTAACGGGACCTATGGCCATGCTCTAGAGCACCTGTCCATCACAGAAAGGGGGATGTGCGGAGCAGGGTTCTGAGGTGACGCTGACACTAGGGGGTCTGAAGTGCTGCCATCACTCCCTGCCCAGGACAAGCCAATGGGGGCAAGGAAATAACCAGGGTCCTGACTCACGCTTGCCTCGCCATGTGTCCCGTGGCACCATGCATCCAAGACCCACCTTGCAGCTGTATCTCCATCTCCTCATTGGGATGGATATATCTAATGGCTCGCAGAATCTACACTCCATATCTTAGGAAGGTCCAAGCATCCTGTGTCTAGACAAGAGATAACACTACCACGGCTGGGGAAGGAGTACAGAGATTTGCATCTCCATCAAAGACTGAAGATGCAAAGACGGTGGCTCCTGTCATACCCTCATTTGGCTCATATGTGCAAAACCCATATGGATTGCGGTAGGTGACAGTAGACCTCCATCAGCCTATTTGCAACTGCAGGGCTGGATTTCTACCTGAGTGAATCCTTATGGCCTTTGGTACTTGGTTTGTAGCTATTGACCTGGCAAATGCTCTTTTCAGTTCGCATCAGTAAAGATGCAAAATTATTTTGGGAAAGATAGAAGAAGAGATTTTTTTTTTTGCCTTGCCCCAGTGCAATGTAAACTCTCTTCCTCTTCCCCCTCCTCCTTCTCTCTTCCTTCCCCTCCCTCTCCCCCATTTATCTCTCTCTCTCTCTCTCTCTCTCTCTCTCTCTCTCTCTCTCTCTTTCTCTCTCTCTCTCCCTCTCTGTCTGCAGATTGGAGGATTGAACCCAGGGGGCACTTTATTCTGAGCCACATCCCCAGCCCTTTTTATTTTTTATTTTGAGACAGGGTCTGACTAAATTAATGAGGTTAGCCTTGAACTTGGGATCCTCCTGCCTCAGCCTCCCGAATTGCTGGGATTACAGATGTACACCATTGTCCTGTCTCCTCCCTTTCACGATACAATCCACAGGGACCTTGATGAAAATTTTGACATTATACAGAACACGAAGCTAATTGTACTCGGTTGAACAAAATATTCTGAGTGCTCACGTGACAGCTGGTGAAAGATAAGGTCCCCTTTCCCTAAAGTTTAGAGCTTTGTTATATTGGTAAAAGATCTGAGGATCCACTGGTCTGGGACAAGATGTTTCATTTCACATACCCCCTACTGCTAAGGGAAATACGTAACAGTTTGTTGGAACTCTTTGGATTTGGGGGAATCATACCTAATGTGCAATATAGTATTGACTCCTCATTTCCTAGTTCAAATAATGCCCAGAGCAAGGGGACACTGCAGTGGATCCAGGGTGCACACTGCCCTGCTCCCTGGCCTCCATACTAGCAAGTCCAGTGGAGCCGGTGTGTCCATGGTGGATAAAGATGGCATGTGGTCTCTGAAGTACAGAGTCGCCCCACAGAACCCTGGAAACTGGGCCGAGGGTGTGCCTTCTGCAACAAACAACTACCTGTGGTTCATTTGAAGATCAGCTCCTGCGACGCCACTTGCCATTCGGCTTTAAAAGACACTTTGAAATTGACCGGGAGGCATCGAATGACTGAAACTGGAGTTGTCTTTCAAGGATGATGGAAATGGTAATCAGGAGCAGGTTCAGAGAATACAAGGCAGTTAAATGAATACGTGGCCCAGATCTCTACATCTTCCTCCTCGGATCCACTGAAGCCACTCTCCACCTCCCATCTATGGCCTTGGGTAGGTCTGCACAATCAACTGGTGGAAGCAAAATCCTGGGCCTTGTTGGTGTGAGCTGAAATGGACTGAAATTACACAACAGCCCTACTGAAGGTGGCCCTAAAAATTGCAACAAGTGGAAATCTTGTCATCGATCAGAACTATTGGTCAGCTATTGGGCTGTCCCTTGTATGTAGGAAGAAGAGGCCTGAGGCTTCTTATCACTACAACAAAATACCTGACACAGGCTACTTATGAAGAAAAAGAGGTTTATCAAATCCACATTTTTGGAAGTTCAGGGTTATGATGCCTGCTTTGGCTCAGTTCTAATGAAGACCTTAGGGTGAATAGCAGATGGTGGAGAGTGGGCAGGAGCAAGTATGCAATTACATCTTGAACCAGGAGCAGAGAGGACGGACAGCCTCCTTCTGTAACAACTCTTTGTGAACTACCTTCTGATAGTATGCCCACAGTAGGCACAGAAAATAAGCCATCGATGAGTCTATGAAGCAGAACTGACTGGGAGATAGCATAAGTACTGAGTGTAAGAGGAAAAGAATTCAGAACACACAGAGCACTCTTACAAATCAAGGATAAAAAGAAAGGACTTGACCATGGAGATGGTTGGTAGACAGGATAATCTTCATTTTGTACCATCCGAGTGGTGAGGACGACTGTGTGTGAGTCCTGGTGAATTGCTCCTGGGGTCGTCTGATGCATGGCCCCTTCATTGCTTTCAGAGTCTCTTGCCCTGTCAATCCAGATGGAGGAGAGTAGGTACCAGCAGCAACCACAAATTCCCAGAGCTTGTCGTCTAAAAAGGTTCTCAGGACTCAGTAGTTGCACATGAAATCAGTTCCTTGTAAACTTCTAGGTGATCTACTCTTGCTCCTGACTTTGCAAGATTATTTTTCATGAGTCTTTCAGAAGTCTAAATTCCACTCCAACCCCAAGAAATGAGAGAGTCTCACCCTTGACAAGGCCACCAGTGTGAATGCAATGCTTCCTTCCCACTTCCTGAAAGGACACCAAGAGCCGTGAGCCAGGTGCGCGGTGGCGTCTGCAGGCGTGTCCTCCTGATAGTCTGCTGGAGGGAAAACTCCGGGAACCTCCCAGGCAAAGCCATGTCCCTGGGCTCCCACTGGGTGGCATTGGCAGAGTCCATTGTTGTCTGCTAAGATACATCTGGTTTCTGCAGAAACCACACGGGACTCAGATATGGGAATCATGGAACGGCACCTCCACCTCCTCAGCCTCTTCCCTTCATGGGTGGCACCAATCTGAGCCAACCCCATGGGGAGCATTATTTCCTATTTGCCACTTGGGTCAGGGGAAGCAGTTTCAGGGGTTCCTGCTGGATGCTTACCACTATGGTAGTGGGGATCCTGTGGGGGTTATTCCGACTGCCACACGTGTCTTTTCCCGCTGTACATTCATGGGTTGCTGAATTGGCCATCAGGTGGTCCCATGAGCATAGTGGATCCACTAGGAGCCTCCCCTGGTCCAGACCCTACTTGCTGCCTGGCCCTTTAATGAAGATGCTTGAGTCTCTGGTTGTCAAGCTTAGCTCAAATCCCGTGTCCCACAGTCCACGAAACGTCTCACTATTCCTTTTCCTTAATGTATCGTTCCCTGAACACAGGATCCCAGTCCCTCTGAAGGAGGATTGGAGGAATCACTGGTCATAGATCTCTACCAGGAAGTGGCAGCATCTCTCCTAGCATCCAGCCTTCCTCCCAGCCAAAGGGTGTTACCGACTCTAGTGTGGAAACCAGGTGAGTGATCGGGTGTTCTCGTGCTGGGATCTCTGCCACCAGCCTCCTCATAATTGCTGATTCCCTTTGGTGGCTGTAAATTAGGCTATGTCGTGCTCTGGGGACACCGTGTCCTTTTAGCATTTCTATAATTCTCCCTGGGAAAAGACTCCCGTGGCTCCGGGACCTGCTCTTCCGTGGATTACAGCAGCCTCACCCCCCTGCTTCTGGCAGAGGGGTGCAGGCACCTGGCCTCAGGACCCCATTGTCCAGCTCTCCCTCCACCAGTCCTGGTTTAGCTTCTTGCTGAAGCTGGCTTTCTCATTGCTCAGGAAAAGACATGTCCCTCAGGTCTCCCATCTGCAGTGGCAGATCCACTCAGCATGCCCATTCCCGAGCCATTCGATCCTTCAGCCACAGTTCTGGTAGCTCTGCCTCGCCTCGCGCAGGCCACTGTGCTTCCTAAGTGTCCACTGAGTGTCAGCACCATCCCTGGGTCCTTGCTGAGTGTGTTAATCCCGGTCCACACAACAGTGCTCATACGTCAATAAACCATGGTTATCCAACCTTGGTTTGTCTTCCTTGGTTCAGAAGGAGAGCAGTCCTGTGTGTCCCCCAGTGCCTGCTGGACATGGTGGCCATACCTTGTCTTCTTGTGGTGCACAGTTACTTTGTTCCCCAAGCAGATCCACGTCCTGCCAGTCCTGCCAGGCAGCAGCAGTCGCTGGAAATTCCCTCCTAGAACTCCTGGGAGTGCATGAATCCAGTCTGTATAGACCAAGCTCCAGCCACAACATTTCCATCTCCTACCTCCTCACCCTGGTAAGAGGGGGGGCTGGGCGCTCTCTCAACCAGCTTCAGTTTAACCATTCCAACTGGCAGCTCAGTGAGCAGCACAGAGGAAGGTCGACACCACCATCCCTGGGTCTCCTTTCCCTCCTCCTCCTCCTTCTCTCTCTCTCCCTCTCTCCCTCCCTCCTTATCTCCCTCTCTCTCCCTCTCTCTTCCTCTCCCTCTCCCTCCCTCT